TCACAAATGGGCCTTCTATTTTATGTTTGGTCCTATTTAAAATTTCTTTAGGTTAAGCTAAAGGTACTTCTTTGTTTAACTCTCACTGAAAAGGATGACTAAAGCTGAGTATCTGAAACCTTAGGAAGCCTGATTCTTGAGACTGCATGAGACCACTTTCTCCAAAGCAGTATAGATGCAATCTTTATTGTTAAAAGACTGACCAAGATACCCAAGTTACTTCAGCAATTCTGAAAAACTTTCAGCTTCAGTTATTAGAAAAATTCTAGATATGTAATCTTGTATTTTATGTCTTCAAACCATAATGCAACTTCTCTTGTTAGCTGACCAGTGGAGCAGTATGGGTTCAGTTTAATGATGGATCCCAACTGGTAGCCCAAGCAGGCGTTTCTTCTATCACTTACACCTCTCCAGATGGCCAGACAACTAGGTAAGTCTATTACTGCTATAAAAATAGTCCAGTTTACTGTCAGTGCAAGGCTGTTATACATAAGGTAAACTTCATAGCTGCTATTCATTTTGTTTTGTAAATATTAAAACTTAGCTTTTCAGTCACTTCTTAGTTGATTAGCTTATATAAGCTTAATAAATAAAGAGAAACACCCATAGCTTTGACTGAACTCTGAATAACAAACAAATTTTAAAAAGCTGGGAATGCATCTACTTGGTCTCCAGAGTATAGCCACTATTCAGGTATAGTATTTAAAAGAGGGAAGGGGAGAAAAGTAAGGTTTTAATACTTTTTAAAAATTTCTTCTTCCAAGAATACTGCTAGATTAGGGAGATAGCATGTCAACATTGATGCGTAGACCTGAAATGCTCAGGTGAAGTTTTGTATGTCTTTTGGACACTAGACACTTCCCATACAAATATAGCCAATCCGTAACATGCTTCCTCTGTGCGAAGTTTGAGACAGTAATATACAGTCTGTTCAGATATTGCAGCTTTAAACATTGTTTAGATATTTTCTTTACCTGAAACACTCTTCAGTTAAATACATATAGGGAAGGGGGGTGTCTAGATTTAAGCCATCAAGCTCCAATTAATGTGTCTAGATATACTTAAAATCTACTTGACTTAGTGGTTTGCCTATTTACAGGTAAGTTTTGAAATAATTATGCTGTCCTGAAATAAAACAAATTACTTCAAGCATCTACATTTTTCTATGCTTTTTTGCCTTTCCTAGGTATGGAGAAAATGACAAGTTGCCAGAATACATCAAAGAGAAGCTGCACTGTCTGTCTTCTATTCTTGTGATGTTTACCAATCCAGCTGCTCCCCACTGATGAAAGCAAAGCAGGTGTCAGGACACAAGAGCTTAATAAACTCACTCACTGACTTTCAAGTAAAGTGACTGATATTACTCGGCTTATGCAGAAATTCCTCCAAAAGCTGGTAAAAAATTAGGAAGGGAAGGGTTGCTCTGTTTATGTGTAGCAAATTGCTTGTAAAGTATCACAGAAAACATGTTTTTCCTCAAAATGATGGATAAACTTGCTCAAGCAAAACATTGAGCAACTTAGTTCTAGATAGCATCACCTTTTTGGAAATAATCTGAATCTGTTGTATTTTTTATTCTTCCCCCACTGCTTACTCAGTGCCAACAATCAAGGAAAATGTATCTGTGCTGTTGAAGTTTTGTATTTGTAAATAATTTACATTTTTACATCTTACAAGTAATATATGTAAATATGTATATGTTTTATAACTTTGTTTTTATTTTTTGTAGCAGCAGCTTTAACTTCCCTGCACAAGCATTTTATACAAAAAAAAAAAATAAATGCAGTGGTAATTGTCCAGATCTATTTATTTGTTTCATGTTCAAGTTGAGTGGGATCCAAAAAGGTGTCAGTGGGGGGAAGATGGAGAGTTTCAGAAGAGCTGAAGGTGGCTTGCACATGTGGTCTAGGCACAATAAACTGAGCTGCAAAACCCTCAGGAAAGAGATGTTCCAATACAGCTTCTTCAACTCTGCAGGCTCAGCTTAGAGCTGAAATAGCCTTGACTACAAGTCAGTTCTTATTTATCTAGTCTCTAATAGAGAGACTTTTGATATTTTGTCATGTCCAAATCAAGGAAATAGCTTGCAAATAAAGAATTTGGCAAAGTAAGATATATAAATAGCACTTAAAAAAAAAAAGCAGCCTTAAATGATTCTCCAAAAGGAGTTTTCTTTAACTGCTCTTTCACTTGAAAAGTGTACCTTCTCATGTTAGACCTTCATACTTGGATAGAATGACTGCATGGTAAAATAACTATTATAAGTCTTTAATAAACCAAGTAGTATGCATAGCTCTTATGCAAGACACTTAAGTTTTTTTGAATATACCTGTAGATACAAACATGTGCACATAAATACTGCTTTCTTGGAAGAAACATTTTGTTTTAGTACTTTAATCTTAAATCAGCTGACTTTAAGTAGCAAGTCAACCTTGGTAAGATGGGGGTCAGCACTGCATGTTAAAAACTTGCGTTATCAGCCACACTGATTCTCTTTACTTCAGACATAATATAATCTAGTTTGATGTGCAAGCTAAATATACAAATAGTTGAAGAAAGCCTAAGAGGTAGACACCAGAGGGCAGAAAGGCATAAATGCTTAGAAAGAACAATCAGCTAGCATGTAAGGAACAGTGTGACTTAAGTACAGTTACATTACATTGCTAACCAGAATAAAAAGAAAAAACAGAAGCCCTACCTGTGAATACAAGAACATGTTTTGTAAGAATGAGAGGAGGATAATCCATAACAAGCAAGCCATAGCTTAAAACACAGCTGACCTAGGAAAATAAAAACAACTCTCATGGCCAAGGAATTTCAAACCTTACTTTCTTATTTTAATTATTATGTAAACATACTAATGTGCATGGGCTACTCCTTTTTTTCTACAGGTATTCACTGCAGAAGAAGAGGCTTGAATCTAGTTTTATCCTTAACCCTTTAAATAAGTTACAGCTAAAATAAGCTCTCAAGTACCCAAACATTTTCTCACTCTGAAGTTGGAAGTTAGCTAACTTGAAGAACAGCAGTAGTAAAAACCCTACAACATACATACTTTCAGCACAAACTGAAAATCCTAACCATGTTAGCCATTTTGAAAACTTGCATTTCTTATGTCTAAGGTAACACCAATTTCTCGTGACTGAAGTAACTTTCAGTTGCTGTAACTCTAAGCACTTTATTTTGCAGTCTGTTTTCACCACTAAAAAGTATTTCTGGTACTATTTATTATGATTAGCATATAAAAGAAATGCTTATAAAAGCAAAGTCCTTTCTCATAACATTTTGTGATTCTGCAGCAGGAAAGCCCGAGAGAGAATAAGACTTCTGTGTGCCCTTCAGTCAGTATTGAAAAAATAATCTTTTAATTCAGTAGTCTTTTAGTGTTTGAACAATTGATTACATAGGAATACTTAATTACATTTAATAAATTCAGTAAGCATCAAGTATTAGACACATTAAGCAGCAGCTACAACTCATACTGGAGTTACTCCACATTTTTTTCCCCAGTAGTATTGAAACAGATGAAACAACCCATACAGACAAGCTTAGGCCCTGTTATAAAGGAAAATTATCATCTCACTTTTTAAAATAAACACTGAATGATTCCAACATTGTAAATTCCTGTTTCTCATATCATATTATCAGAAAACAATAAGTCTACAAATAATAGTTAACACCTGAGAGACCAGTTTCCTCCTTTATACTTAATTAACACTGGTCGCTCAGCATAGTGCATTCATTCCCACAAATGACAACAAAAGTGTAAACGATCATGCTTAGTGTTTCCTTCTTGTAGTAAAGTTAAGAAAAACTGCATAATTCAACTCTGTGCAGGTTATCTTTCTTGCTACAAAAAGGCATTCAGCAAAACAGTAAGAAAAATTGCACATATGGTTCACTGTAGTTCACGTAGCAGCCACTGAGGCTGTGATTTTCAATGGCTCTTAACCAACTAACTTAAATACCCAAATCCCACACAAACTGCTTGTGAAGCAGGCACCTACCTTCCTCTACAATTCTGTCACGTTTCATTTGAAATCCTGGAGAAGATGTACCGATACGTAACAGTTTCCAAAGTGAGACATTTTGTATTAACCAGTGCTTACAAGCTAGCAAACTGAACATCAGAGGAGGTTCACTTAAGTGATGTTTCCATACAAAGTGCATGCAGCTCAACTAATCTTGTAGCTACAAAAGAGTTACTAATCCTGATTCACAGAATCAAGATAAATATTTCTTGTAATTCTTCCTCGAAAGGATCCATGTAACCTGTGACCTTCACAGCTGCATTCAGTACCCAAGTGCATCATTTAAACTGTACACACTTCAAACGTGCCATTGTATTGATCTAACTTGTTCACATCCTTCCTTTGCTGCTAGAAAAGCAGAATAGAAAAGCTCTGTTGCAGCAGGTGTAACCATGTATTAGGATATGACCAAGTTATGTGTTCCGTCCATGTGTAAGTACATGGAGTATACAGCCAACAAGGTCAGCAGTTAGGTACTCCTCATTAAAAAGTAGTAATAAACTAAAGTATTATTTCTGGTTGGTTTTAGTTTTCTTTTTTCCTAAACACATATTTAACAATTCTCTTCTTGCATCCTTCCATATCTGACAGAAAATGCAATTAGTCTCTTGTATACTATCTCCAAGAGTAAGAGTGAGACTACAACTACTCCACAGATTAAGCTAAATGCCCAACGTGGTCCCAGGTGAGTGTATATTTGGCTCACAAAAACAGGCCCAAGTATTCGTGCTCCACTTCCAGAGGCAGTTAACCATCCCATGTAGACACCCTACAGAAGATCAAAAGCTTATGTTAGTGATACAGGAATTATTTGGCTAGCCAATAATTCCCATTCTAATTAGAAAATTTAGATGTGTTTAAGCAATTGCTTATCTTTCTTAACTCATTAAGATACTTTGTTTCCAAGAGTACTGCTCAGCTTCTCTAAGCATTAATTCGAATGCTCCACTGAGCTACACACTATAGCTTTCTCATAAAAAGGCATTCTGGCTCAAAGCATTTAGTCTCTTACAGCAAAACATAACATGGAAAAAATGAGGTAAGTGGTGAAAAGGGAAGAAAATTTTTTGTTAAGCAGTAATATCAGCTTGCTATGTGTTTCACCACTGTAAAATATCAAGAACTGCAGGTATCATAGCATTTGTAGTCTTTATATAACATACTTAGTAAGAGGAACATTATTCAGTACTGACATTCCAAATATATAATTGGTTGTAACAAAAATGACTCCTCCAGAACAGTCGTGAAAGTCACAAGCTTTGGGCTTAGTTGCTCTGAAATTTTCACGCTGTAAGATTCGCCATAAATTGTAGTACCAGCCTTGCTTTTTCTGCTAGGGACTCTTAATTCCTCTAGGGACTTGCCTTGGGTTTTAAAAAAAGATTATAGTTCCTGGAAACTTCTGCCCAGGTTGAAACGTACTATTATTTGGCTAATGACAGAAAGAATTTTGGCTAGATCCCTCATTCTAATAAAGAGGGTACAAGTCCTGGGAGAGCAAATGAAATAAACTGTTTAGGCATCATGCTTACCTGAGGCTTCGGTCCTAGAATTTTTGAGTATAAAGTGTAAGACATGACATTACAAACTGGATAGCCCAATCCTATGAGTATGTCAGAGCTGATATACTGGGCCAGATAGATCATCGGAGTATTCAGGCACCAGGACTGTGTGACAGGGCAGCCTACGGGTTCCACTGTGTGGTTGGATGGAAGCTGCATTGCTTGCAAACTCCAGAAAGGCATTAACATTTCAGTGGAAATTGTTTTGGGAATGGAGTTGTTCTTTATTTCTGTAAAAATAAATTATGCATGCCATTAAGAAAAAAATACAATACAAAGCTTTCAAACAAACATTATGATGATAGTTTAGTATGACTTGAATTATACCTTGCCACTGGATATTTGGTAGTTTTTTCCCCCAAGGCAGTAAGATAAAGAATCCAACCAAGACAATCAGTAAGCCTCCATGGAGTATGGCACGCTCACCAGTCCTATCAAACAATGAAATTACAATTAAATATATCACTTAATTAAAGTAAAATTTATGAAGGTGCTAACGACATAGCCCATTAGTTTGTGGAAAAGATGCCCGACCAAAACACTTGCAAGAAAAATTGCAAAATTACAGTAACTTAAAACCTGTTTTTCTTGTGATTCAAGGGTAAAAGACAGACAAGGAAGGGGGTTATGTTAACAGAAATAAAGAACAACCACAGCATCATGGCTGTGTCAAAACTGGAAGTACTTCATTGTCACAGTAAACCCAAATTCATTAACAAGTAAAAGTAACGCAGCTTTGGCCTTGCCGTAAACCTTTTCACACCTAGCTAACGTAAGTAACAAAATTCCGATGAACTCCAAAAACTTACTTTTTAGATAGCGTTTTAACCACCAAGAAAACAATAACCGATTCAATGCCAACCACACTGAGGATTATTCCATTATAAAAAACGGCTTCTTTCCTGGTCCAGGAATACATATCCATCGTCAGTGGAGTAGCTATACTAAATTGACAGAACAAAATTAAATTAATTAAAAAGAAGCTTCTTCTATACAGTCGTTTCCAGACATATGTTGTCCCAAACATCAAACACAGTGGTATAGAAGCCTTTCCTCCTGACGGGTGTATCAGAAAACACAGGCTAGTTATAAATTAATTCTATCATGCATCATTTATTAAAACTAAATCCACTAGACAAAATTCACAAAATTCAAAACGTAACTGCATTACACCAGCCATATTCTGAAGCATCATTAATCTATTTCCCATAGTTGATGAAAAGTTGATGGAGTTAAAGCAAAGCAAGAGTAATAGAAAAAAAAAAATCAGGCCCTGTGAGTATAAAAATAATAAACATTTAATACTGTTCCAGTTTTAGCAACCAACCAGTCTCTAGGAACTCAATTTTCTAAAAATAATACAATTACGGCAGAGACATATTGTCAAAAGAAATTTTAGATACGTTAGAACTCAAAAAACTTACAAAATAAATCTTATATCCTCAAAGAATTTTATAAATTAAAAAAATGACGTATACTTCAGTCTGAGATAATGTTGTTATGTTTTACTTTTTCTTTTTTTTTTTTTTTTTTTTTTTTTTTTTTACACAGAAAGTTTGGGAATACACGACATACCTCTTCAGGTAAAAAACACAGTCATGTAAAACAGTGTAATTAAGAATACAATTGCATTAACTATATCAAACAATTGTTTTAACTATTACTGAAGTAAGATCTTCACTGGAGCTTTTGGAGCTAATCAGAATCATACTAAAAAATTACAAAATTCAAATAAAAAGTATAGAACAAGGTACTCAGCTGAAGACACAGTTTTCTCTGAAGATTTTAGGTAGCCCAAGTTAAGCTACTTTTTTTTTTTTTTTAAATACTTAAGAATGGGTTTGCATCCATTCAAAAGCTTTTACATTAACGTTTCATATACCACAAACTGTATGTTACATATTTTTAGTTATTACTGACCTTTAATTCATTACTTTATATCAGTATACATCAATTCGATTGCATACGGTTTTGGACTTCTATTTATGAAGAGTACAGTTAAGAAAATGAGTGCAACAGAAAAGCCTTTACATGCACACCCAGTCTAACTAATTACATGTCTAAGTATTTTGAGAGAAAATAGACAAACTTACGTTTCAAAGACAGCAAACACAAACAAGATGACAAAGAAAAGAAAATTGATTGCTACCACAGCAACATGGTCAACGTTTCCTTCTGCGTCCTGATCCAGAACACCACTTTCTGCAACAAAACAAAAGAAAAATCTCAACTGCAAACTAAGCTTTTTTTACACCACCACAAATTACAAACAGTAATGATTCCCTTACTCTGTTAAGTATTTAACGCGCAGGTTGGTGGGCAGCTAGGCAGTTATATTTTGACAATCTAAGTAAAATGTTTTAAATCAAAATGGAATTGTCGAAACTTCAATTACTCTGTTCCTCTTGCAAGGTACAGGAAAAAGTACACAGTAGAATTCTCTGCACTACCACGAAGCCTTTGTTCCTCTAATTTGGGCATAGCATTTTCATACACAAAACACGCACGTGTGGTGTGCACATACAGCTCCCTTTTTAAACAGAAAACTAATACAATAAACTGGTGACTTCCATAGATTTTAAGAGAGGTTTAAAACGATCTTTCATATACTTTTTGCTCTTCAAGTGAAAGGGATACTCACAATGTTTTAAAAAATTTGAACTGCCTACAAAAAGGGTATATATTGAACGTAAGGTGTTGCACTGTATGTGGCAATTACTGTACTTTAGTCTCATCAACCAAATTTACTTATACAACATACACATTTTAATAAGATGCCGTATGTGAAAGCTGATATGCAATAACAATATTGCGTGATACAGAACAAAAGAGAAGTATGAGTGCAGAGTAGAAGTTAAGGGAGATTTTTTTAATGTCCATATTCACTTAATTCTGTCCCTTGGAAGACACAGTTCCAGGGTGAAAATCTGGAAGGATCCATACAATATTTTTTTTTTCTTCTTTGCTACCAGACAGCACTATGGACACAACATGGACATGAAGCAATTTCTGGACCAGTTAGAAAGAGATGTAGTCTGTTTTCCACTTCGAGTTCCCAAAGCATCAGACTTTAGAATACTTCTAAATGCTTGTATGTAACAAGAGATTACTGCAAAATTATAATCACAGAATGTTTTCAAGAAAACATAGGTACCTTCTCCTTCAAAATTGATACTTTTGCACTGCCGTCCCATGTCATCCACTCGATGGTCTCTAGAAATTTAGAACTGTTTTCATTAATACACATATTTATTTGATCTACTATTGAGTCAAGTTTGTATTAAAATAATTCTAAATGGCGTAAACTTATATTCTAATTATTTCCAGCTCATTTAAACATCATCTGTGTAGTCTACATTTGACTGCAGTGAACACCACCATATTCAAGAAAGAAAATATTCTAGTGGGAGAATATCACATATCTGTGTGCATCTCTTCCCTCCCCTCACTGCCACCAATGGGATAATGCATAAACCCCCACCTCGAGATTCTTAAAGGAAAGACACAGACAGTGAGAACCCTACAGACAAGCTAACCTTATTTCTCTTTAGAGAAAAAACATGGGCAGAAACCACCAACATTAAAAATATATCACGGCTAAGCTAATAATCTAACAGCTCTAACTTTTTTCATCAATTTACATTCTAGCCATAACACCACTATGATTAATTTATGAGCATAATGAAGAAGATATGTATTAAAGAAGGTAGAAACCCTGAAAAATAAATAACAGCTTATAGTTTTAGCACTCCAGAGTTCAGGCTTATTACTCCTCCTTCTGAGCTGCATATTATTTGTTGCAAGCCACCCACTAAAACAAGGCAGAATATTTCTCTTTTTTGACTTGATTACCTGAATATGGCAAAGATGAGAATAATATTAGTAACTCCTAAGAGAGCTCCAAATAGAACTGGTGCTGTATACATGTTCAGCTGAAGATGAACTAATTTCCATGTTATTCCTTCTTCTCCAATAAGTGTAAAACATGTCTGAAAAACTTAAAAACATACATGTGTTAAGAACATCTTGAGAATCATTAAGAAAATACTAGAACACATATAGAATAAACATATAACACTGGATAAGCAAAGTTGTTCTAATTGCTAAGTAAACTTTAAATATTATACCTGTCAAACCTTTCACATTTTGAGAATCCTACTCTAAATAAACTGATGGATACCAGTGGGATCTCAACTAGCCAGAAAACTACTTGGTTACATACAAATACACTGTATAAACAACAGCATGACACTTAATGAACTGGAACTGAATTCTGAGTGTACCAATGGTTAATTTTCTTAGCCATGTGCAGACAGCTGATTTACTCTTTTTCCTCTTCCTCCTACACAGAAAACCTTGGTCCTGGGACTGGACTATCCCTCGTGCTAAGGGCAAGCTAGAGAGAAAAGAAGTTGTGGGGTTTTTTTGATTAAAATTTAAATTGGTGGAGAGCAAAAGATTGTAAGATCAGGCCATTTGCTTACTACTGTTAGGAAACAGACTGAGAGTCCCTATTAAATTAGGAAAAGGAATTACCTAAATTTATACTCCATGCAAATCACACAAAGAGTGCAGATTTTTTCTTGCTATAGACCCTTTAATGCTCCATCAATAGCGCTAGTAATAATCAACTGGAGAAAAAACTTTCAGCCCTAAATGTTCACCTCATTATATTATCATACACAGAGCACTTAAGCTCTACTAATTGGATAATCTTAATCTCCAGCTATATAAGACAAGTAATCAGTAGAGGCTGTTTAGGACAAAATTACTGGTCTCTCTTTACAACACAAGGCAAGTCTAACACATTTCTGCCATGAAGCAGCTAGAATACCTCAAAAGCCACAGTTATGCCTGATCTAACAAACACCCCTTGAGCTCTTTGTTCCCTTAGCTCTCTGTAATACTTGTGCTAGGGCTTAAAATTTTTGCCAATATGAAGATTTTGTGATCGTCACTACAAGATCAGAAAGATCTGTTGGATGTTATTTTCTACAACATGTGAGGCAAGGTGAAATTTTCAGTCATTTCGGAAAGGTGAAAATGTTTGCCCAAGTACAGTAATGTTAAATTCCCTTCTCCATGAATAAAGTGCAATTGGTCATAGACTATTTAGTGGGTACTGGTACAAGAAAGCATTTTGGAACTCGTTTTTCCTGCAGCCAGCAATCCAAAACAGCTAGTTTTTAACTACAAACAATTAGATTTTCTTTGGACTGGAATATTTAGTTTATATTGGCATACACAAGTATACATGAATGGATGCCATTTATTGAATTTTGATACCACTGACAAACTATGCCTTAAAATCCTCAACAGCTGCTGAGGATTCCTACTTCCAATGCCCAATTTCATCCTAAAAAGTATTAGAGAAGTGAGGAAAGAAGATATGCTTTACCTGGTCCTAATATGAAGCCAACCGCTTGGCAGGCACTGGTATTGGCCATGGCACTTGTTCTTTCCGTAAGAGAAGTGGCACCTGCAATATACGATCGAACTACAGCCACATTTCCTTAAAAAAAACAAAACCAAGAAAGTGTTCATGTAAATACTGAGTTATATTCTTAAATTATCCAATTACATTTATTTTAGGGATTTTTTTTTTTTCTTATTTTGCAAGAGAGTAAAACCCAGCGCTCCGTCTAGTATTTATACACAAGTGCAAAATTACACAATTTTATTATAAACTAGCATTGGCCGTCTCTTTGTTTTGTTAAGTAGTAAGTTATCATTCACATAATGGTAAATCTGGTACTAAAATATCATGTTAACTATTTTACACGAAACATAGAATTTAATAATTTTCAGAAATGTAAATTCTGCTGTGGTTACCTGCTCCAAATCCCACAAGAGCACGTGCAGTCAGCATGTAGTATTTGTTGTGTGAATGAGGTACATGGACGTAGGCATAAAGACAATTAGCAGCTACTGAAATAGCAGTCGAAACAACGAGAGGTTCTCGCCTTGGCCTGTAATTGGACCAGAAGCCGAACAGGGGAGAGGCAACCATTTGGCCAATACTATATGAAGCTATAATCCAGCCCAAGAAACTCGCATCTGCTGTCGGATCAATCTGCAGAAACAAATTAATCAATTCTATGGGTAAAGTATTATAGTATTTTGTAATATCAACAGAACCATTTTAGAATCAGTACCTGAAATACCTAAGGCTCTGCACTGTAATTCTGAGGGTATATGGCACTACGCAATGCAGTGTCAAACCTAAGCTATCGCTAAATAAGTTAGTGTGTCTGCATGGCATTGTGCAGTGTTTAATATAAATACACCACTCCGGGTCTTGGAAGTAGTTGTTTTCACATAGTACTTTGTCTGGGGCAATAAACCTTGGCTAACTGTCTCCAGCAATGCACCAAACCAATAAAAAGTGCTTTGCTTCTGAGGCTCACTTGCAGCAAACTCAAATAGTTTTCATGCAGCACTGCTGATGTTATAGGCTATAGACATAACTTAAGTAGTACGGTAGACAACGTACATCCCAGGAGCAAGGAATCACTTAAGTGATCTCTGCACGTGCCTGAACCTGTCCTGATTCACAAGGCTGATGACGTATTTTCTTTTCTTCTCAGCACCAGCCTCAATTTTAACGATACCTCTAGGACCCTGCCCAGGATATGTTCTTCCAAATTTGCATTTGAAACTGCCTTCTACAATTCCAGGAGCAGCAATACCCTAGCACAGATTAAATTAAAGTTTTAGACACCTTTTATGCCATTTTTAACAAGAATGCAACAAAGATGGAAAAAACCCCAACCAAACTAAAAACACTATCCAGGAACGCAGGCAATTCCCTGTTAAGAATATCAAGAAGGCCTACGTGCAACAATCTGACATTCACAGAGCAACTTCTAACTTCAGCTTGCCTTTTTTTTCCCCAAAATGCAGACAAGCCTTGTGTATTATGTTTTAACACTACAAATGCATTCAGATAAAGATATTTCTGTTGATTCACTGTCCAAGAAAACAGTGACATTACATTGGAAATCCAAACATTTCTGGATTATGATGTACCTTTATCAATTCAGGAAATCAACTGACAGATTTTACATGAAATAATGAAAGCTGTCTAAGTGGATGGCAAAATAAAAGCCTCTTATAACCACACACGTTCCTTTATTGTTTCGTTTCCTAAATAAAATGTCAAGTTTTGTATTACATACTTTCTGAGCAGGAGTTTTCTGTTCTTATTAATTAAAAAAACCCATATTTACAAACCTTTTGGAGATATGGCCACACAGACATAATTACAATTGAGAAACCTGCAATAGTAAAAACATAACTGAAGTTACTTTATTTGCCATGTTTATCAGTAATTCGCTTTACTAAAACACTTATTACACGTTCATTCTTCTGCTCCTATTATAGTCTAAAACTGTGCATCAGTCTGTCACCTGAAAAAGCTATGTGTTATGTGCTTTTTTTAAGGAGTGATAATTCCTAGGCAGAACCATCTTTAAAGGGACATTTTATAGGTGCGTACACACTGAACAAAAAAATTCCTGTGAAAAGAATACTGATGCACCAAGCAAACTGCATGGGATTTTTCCTTCCAATGGAAAGACAACAAGGTCCCCAGAGTAAAAAGAATTTCTTGATATACTAACATATTTGTATTCATTTATGAAAGAAATTTTAATTCATCAAATTAAAAAAATAATCACTGAAGTATCCTATGATTTTCAAGATAATTTCTAGGCCCACAGAAAATCACCAGAAGTCAAAAATCAACAGAAGTCTTGTTTCCAAGGGCAGTTATTTAGGAATGAAACAGTAATTTGTTCTGCAGTGGAGATGCAAAATCCCATAGGAGAAAACAAGCTCTCATACACATTTTGAAATAAATAATATACATTCCCACAAAGATCTTACCTTTTAAGAACTCAGCATTATTTCTATTTTCATTCCCCAGAAGTTTCACTTTGGATGATAAGAGTGTGACCTTTGTTTTGTTTGGTTCTGAGCAAACTTATTCTTACTCTGCCACTACCTTTTACCCCAAACTATTACAAAGCCCTAAACGAAAGATTTAAGCAATATGTCATTTAGTCTCAAAACAGAGTATTATTTAACTTATCTTATTAAACGTAATTTTCTGCTTGACTTGCTAGTCATATCTTTTCTTTGAAGAATCAGAAAATGCACCTTTTTAAGGTTATACAAGAACAGTAGCATTAAAGGAGCTATGTAGTTGCAATCTAGAAAACCCTGTAATTTTCAAACCAAAATATATTCATTAAGCAAATAACATTGAAATCCTCCTGTGTTTACTCACCTACACTACTGAGAAACATAGTAAGATACATAATCCAGATGGATCGCCACCTGCTCTTATAATGCTCTTGTGTTTCCACAACATCCCTGTTTTTGAACCAAAAGTCAAGAGAGAAAGAAATCGTTATCAGATTCTCTTCTAGTTGTTCCCACAGGACATTGAAGACATTTTTCACAAACCTCTCAATACAATTGTGTAAATTGTTATGCAAGAATGGACTTCCACACAGCAAAGAATACAAAGAATTTATTTTATACGCAAGCTAATTTTTCACTGAAAAATACTAATTGACAAATCAAAAAACTAATAGAAATGCTATCACGTACCGTTGCATTCAAATGTTACACAAAGAGATCTTTACCTAGAGAGATCTTCAATTCTGCATTCTCTTTGTATAGACACTTTGGAGCACCACAGATATCATGTAAAGGCTTTAAGAAGCCCGTATTAAACCATAAAACCCCAGAATCTTCTCAGAACTGTGGCTTTAAAGCAAAAAAAAACCCCAAACCTGAACAACTATTGATTAGACTAAAAGGTATGGCCAGTCTATTCTTATCATGAGAAAATAACTATACAAAGTAAAAGATGTGTGTAAAAGATATCGCTGAAGATTGTCAGGGCTGCAAAAAAAAACTAAAATAGAAGTTACAAACTTTGTGAGCCGTATTTTTCTAAAATTCACAAGCACCTTGTGAGACCCATGTACTTTTTCAGAAGCAAGAACGTTTCAGGGTTCTTCACTTCTTTTGAAGTATTATAAACAAAATAATGTGCAGACTCAGATGCAGACTCAGGTTACATAAGCCTAAACACAGTTTATAAACATTGTTTACATACGTCATACATAGACTTAGGCATATGCAAATTTTAAAGCTAATATAGCTATTCCACAACATGATTTGTAAATTTGTTTCTTCAGAAATGTTTACACCATTGAAGTGTCTTGGTTCAATGAAACTTTAACCACATAAACGACGTTTCTAAACGTACTTTGTAATCTTATTGCCCATCACGCATAGGAAGAAGTCAGGCAAACTCTTGTATGTGCTATGGATATGCTACGTTTGGTTACTTTCAAGACTGTAGTTAAATCAAGCGGTATGCTTCAAGTATGAGAACCCCTCAGCAAAGACGGCAGCAGCAGCCACCCCTACACATTCAAGATACTGTTGTTTTCCTGACAGAAGGAAAACAACAAGTGATCAACTGCTGCTCGCACAAGAAGAGTGCTATTAAATACCTAGACTTCAGCACCACAATAATCGATTTTTACGCTTTTTAGAAACTTCCCAAGCCAGCGCGTTTGTTTTTTTACAGACGGAACCAGCTCCCGCCGGGGCTGCGGCCCCTGCCGCGCCCCGCTCCCGAGCC